GCCTCTCTCTCTCTCTCTCTCTCTCTCTCTCTCTCTCTCTCCCTCTCTCTCTCTCTCTCTCTCTTCCCCCTTCCCTAAATCTTTCTAAACCACACACACCCACACACACATACATACACACACATACACAAACACAAACACACACACAAACACACACACGCACACACAAACACACACACACTCTCTCTCTCTCCTCCCTCTCTCTCTCGCTCTCGCTCTCTATCTCTCTCTCTCTCTCTCTCGATCATTACCCCCTCCCCCCCCCTCAACCATCCATCTTTGGGCCTCTGCATCTTTTACCATTAAACTCTCTCCCAACTGCTTCCTTCACCCTCTCGAAATTCCCCGTCCAGGCTCCCCAAACTCACCCTCTCTCTCCAATCCAACTACACCCTCTCAAGCTGCTATCACAAAATCTTTTTCCGTCATCTTTCCTTCGTTTCACTGATTCAATCTTGGCTGTGTGCACTTAATTCACTCATCTTTTCCCCTGCCATAAGGCACAAGATTTGATTTATGGCTTTGTTGGTGGGCTTAAACGTGCTTTAAGATGGCCCTCTGATCAGATGGGTAGATAGCCTCACACAGAGAAACATTAAACGGTTTATCGAGGCTCAAAGCTTGGGTCTGTATAATATACTCGTAACAGGGTGCAGGAACTGAAATAATCATGAGAGAGAGAGAGAGAGAGAGAGAGAGAGAGAGAGAGAGAGAGAGAGAGAGAGAGAGAGAGAGAGAGAGAGAGAGAGAGAGAGAGAGAGAGAAAAGACAAATTATAGATAAATATATAGACAGACAGACAGACAGACAGACAGACAGACAGACAGACAGACAGACAGACAGACAGACAGATAAACAGGCAAACAGACAGATAAACAGACAGAAACAGAGAGATGAGAGAAAAATGACAGAGGTGGAGAAAAGTAAACTTTTCGGTTTTTATAATGTGTATGAATACACGTAGATGATACAAGATCAGCTTGGATATGCTAAAAAAAGATAAAACAAATGAACAAAGATCACATCTAAAGACACAATGAATTGCTGCCACTGAAGTGTTGAAACAGTTGCACCAAGAGAACCATTTCTTTTACAGTTCTGGAAAACCGGATTATTATTTTGGGAAAGATAGCTAATTAAGGTCTTAGAAATCCTCCCAACATCCCCCCCCCTTTTGTCTGTCTGTCTGTCTGTCTGTCTGTCTGTCTCTCTCTCTCTCTCTCTCTCTCTTTCTCTCTCTCTCTCTCTCTCTCTCTCTCTCTCTCTATCTATCTACCTATCTCTCTATTCTCTGCCTCACCCTTTCTCTTGTTCTCTCCTTTAACAGCTCATCAAACACAGTAAACTAATAAACACGCTCTGTCTTCCACACACACAGGTGAACAGACCTCTGGCCATGAAAAAGGATGGAATCCAGACCCGAAAACGGAAGCCCAAAAATGTCAACAAAAATAAATCACCGACAAAGACTGAGGACAACGGTAGGTGATAAAGAAGACTGATATAAGCGCTAGAGAGAAGGATCTTAGGATTATATAATTGAGATCATAACGTTCAAGGCAACCTACCCGCTTTCGACATCTTTTAAATTTTGCTGATTGTTACATTAAAAAAATTCTTATATCTTTTTATTTTTTTAAAAGTATTTTGCAAAGGAGGGGAAAGGTAGGGTGGGGAAGAGGGGGGGGGGGGGGTTGTTCTTAAAAATAATGATATAATTTGCCTTCTAGATTGTCTTAGTTTTGGTGACTTTTAAAAATGAAAACATTGAATCAGTCAAACAAAAAGGTTCCCCAATAAATAAAGAGATTGTTTTGGTGTGTTTATATATACTTTTTTCTTCTGTAATGAAAATTGTAATGAAAAAGGTGCTGATTAAATGCTGAAGCTCACTCGTCTCTTTCTCTTAAAATCTATTCGCAGATGCTAAATCTGACAACTCGCCTTCCAAAAGTAACGCCAGTGGGAACAACTCGACCAGCAATAATTCCAGCAGCAGCAGCAGCAACAACAACAATAGCGAGACAACAATCAACAAAAACAACGACGCGGTGAAGACGGAAGCAGGAAAAACCTCCAAACAAGAAACATCCCCCAAACAAAACTCAGCCAAATCTCCATCCGTCTACGCACCATCGAACACCGGCTACGATCTCATCACCCCAAAAACAGAATACACTGACGTCAGCAAAGTAGGCTATCAAGATTCTACAAAAGCCTCCTACGTCATGGACACCGCCAAATCTGCAGGCGCTTACGACATCCACAAAGCTTCAGCGTACCCTGACGTCATGAAATATGACGTAGACAGCAACAAGCATCACGCGTACCTTGACCCCATGAACATGGCGTATCTGGAAGCCGCAAAGTCTGCAGGCTATTTCGATATGTCTCGTCAGGCTTACAATCAGTACGACCCCTCCAAAAGTGCGTCATATCTTGACCCTAATGAGAAACTCGGCGGTTACATGGAACACGGAAAGATCGACTACAACACAGCTGCGATCAAATCCGAGTACATGCGAGCTGGGAAACCCGAATACATGGATGTGATGAAGTCTGACCCGTACCTCATTGCCCAGAGATCCGACTACGCGGAAAAAGCCGATTACCACACCATGAAGCAGATGGGTTACGATACCATGCATATGAAAAACACGTACATGTCCGCGATGCAGAAGAGCGATTACTCCATGGTGCCTTCGGGCGGAGGTCTGAAACCCGGAAGTGACGTAACTGCAGGTTCTTCTCACATCATGCCCGGCATGTCACCAGCGTCGTCTCATTCCCACATCATGACGTCATCGCCGCACATCCAAAACATGATGACGTCATCGGCTGCCCTCAGCACTATGCCGTCAGCACACGGAGTGCCTACGTCACATCATCAGCACGCCTACGGTCTGCCCGCCCCTGCACCTCCTTCTCCCAAGGCCGAGGCCATTCCCATGACAACCGACGCGTCTGGCTACAGAGGAAGTGACGTCAGTGGCGGGTCTGGCCAGGCCTTGCGAGTGTCTGAGAGTGCTGCTTCCTCTTCTCTCCACACTGTGCCAGTAGCCAGCTAATGATGTCATAGATGCTGATTTCCGACATTTGTGAATAAACTGTTTAGACACGCTGAAGATGTTTCAAAGCTTTCTGAACATGTTGACGCCCCCAAGAACAATAAGGTGCTTCCTGAACAATATGGTGCCCTGAGAAACTGATCATTGTAGATCAAATAGTTCTGGCGCCATACAAGATTCTGGAATAAGTAGTAACAAGCCGGGGATGCCATAATGACGTCTCAGCTTTTTGCACACTGGCATGCCTGTCTTAGACAGACGACATCACGGCTTTCAGCAGACTTTCTAGGGTACATGACATTCACTTAATAAGTCAATGTCTCAGCAAAGATGAAGAGACAGACCCTGCCCGTGGCTACATACAGGAGAAAAGGTGCCCACAAACCCTTCTGGGATCTTCAATACAGAAAACAAAACAACACATTCAGCAACTGTCATGAGTGTGGTGTAATAGTATGATTCTTCCTCATTGCACGCAGAAGTATGGGTTTGATTCCCGCATGAGGAAGCTCTTTCTCAACTTTCTCTACAAATATCTCCGTTTATCTGCTTGGATGTTGCGTTGTTCTCGGCTGGGGGGTGGCCTTGACGGGAACGGTGGTGGCAGCCCGCATCCAAAATGACGTAATTCTGTCGACTGGGGCGTTGAAGTTTTGCAACGCAAGAAATGAACGTAGCAAGATGCACTCAACTCGCCATTCGAATACTCTGTTCTCATCCTTTTCTCTTACATTTGAATTTGACCTATTCTCAGGCCTGCCTCTTATTAGGTACGCTTTGTGCTTGCTGTGCAGTCTATTATTATTATCTAACAGAGTCGAAAGTGATCTAAAGTCCTGCGTTATTGAGTAATATGCAGTCATATAACTGCATACAAATCCTGATTCTGAAATTGTCTGACCCCATCTCAACGATGAAAAGTACAGCTCCAAGATGAAAAACAGTATTAAGTCGTGGGTGACCTTTATTTATTTTCCTTTTCGGAAATGAACACCGGAACAAATGTGGTGTTCCGGAAATTTACAGATTATTCTGAATGAAGAAACAGCTCGCGTATTGCTTTGAACTGTCTTTTTCCTGAAAATTTTATTTTCCTTTACACTGGATGGCCTCAGCAGTTTCTGTTGGATGAAAAATAATAAGAATGAAAAAAAAGGACAGTCGAAATGAGTTTATCTTCCTGCCAAAATATCTTGGTCCTCTTAAAGGTGTGTGTAGACTTCGGAGGCCGCACCTTCCTGACTCCACAGTGTTAAAAAGAGTGTTGAACCCAGACTACAAAATACTCTCTTGTATGCTGTACCTGTTACATAGACAAACTGACATAGCATTCTGTTCAATTTCATGCTATGTAGACATCCCTTGTGGAATATACTCTGAGGTGCACACACATCAATGATCAATACATCCTGGTCGTGTTCAGGACGCCAACAGATGTACTACCAAAAACAACGCTTTCAGGAAGAGTCGAATAAAAGACAGTCAGGGGACCACGAGGACTCCAGTGAAAATGCAAAATGTTAGAAAAGAAGGCAGAAAGCTAGCTTAGTATGACATTAGCAAAGGAGAGACTGAATTGGAATTTGAAAAAAAAGAGAGAGAAGACTGTGGATATTAAAATCAATTCTTTAGACAAAGCCGAGGTAGTCCTGAACTCCAGAGAGAGAGAGAGAGAGA